TGTCACCACCTGATTGCGCTGGTGATAAACTTATCAAGTCCAGCATCTCTGGTCCAGAGGGACCGCCCAGGGCAGGGGTCACCATGGCAACCAGAGGCAGCAGGGAGGCCCAGGCCAGGTTGCCGGGCAATGCAGGCAGGCGGCTGGGGCTTCTGCCCTGGGGTGGGGTGAGAGTACTGGCTCGTGCTCAAGTCTCTTGGGGGCCACCAGTCCCCTCACCCCATGCTCACCCCAGGAAGTCCTGCAGAGTCCTGCCCCACTGCCCATGGGGTCATTAAAACCAGCACCAAGTCTGTTCTGCACCTACACATCCAACGTTCACCTTTGTCCGATGCCCTGTCTGTGGCCTCCCTGCAGGTCCCCTCACTCAGCCCAAGGACAAAGGCCCACGGAGGCTGTCCCCAGCATGAAGGGCAGAAGACAACCAAGGACAAGACCAGCGTCCACCAGTGGCCTCACACAGCAGTGCCCAGGGATGCAGGTACAAACAGGACTAAGCCCCGCACGGAGAGGCAGCAGCTGCCTAGGCCCCGAGGGCTGACTCCCTTACAGACCAAGGAAGGGGCCCATGTGGCTCGCACGTGCAAGATTTTATTACAGGACACCAGAGTGAGCTGGGCCCAACAAGGTCTGGTCAGCAGGGGGGCCGTGCGGGCACAGAGGGAACAGGTGGGCGCCTTCCCAGGAGGCCACCCTCACACCCAGGCCCCACGGGTGAAGCTGCGGCCCTGGCCAGGGGAGAGTGCGCGGCCCAACGAGGTCCTCAGCAGCCACAGCAAGGGCTGCCTGCGTCCCCTAAGCAGACGGCAGATTGTGTCTGTCTTCTGAGTCCCACTGGAACCATTTAGCCACGGCTGGGGGCCCAGGGAGCAGCCCAGAGCTTCGGGGTGCAGCTGCCCCCTCAACACCAGCAAGTGGGAAAATGTCAGTGTGGGGTCCTGGCTGCACCTCGGGGGCTGGCTCGGCCTCGCCCCGCTGCCGCCAGTCCTTCAGGAGCTGTGTGCAAGTGTATGTATGTGTCTGAACACGTCTGGGTCTATGGTGCGTGAGTGGGTTTGTGCATGTGTGCAAATGTGTGAGCGTGTGAGCGTGCACGTCAACACGCAAGCACAATGTGTTAGGGTGCACGAGCATGTTTGTGCACGTGTCTGTGCGCGCGTGCTGGCGTTCGTGGGGGGATGACACGAGGAGGCCCTGCCCTGCGGGTAGCCGCCCTTGCGCTGGGTCCAACCACACTGCCCTCTGTCCAACACCACAGGGCGGGCCCAGGCCCGTCTTCAGAGCACCTGGCGCCTCCCTAGGAGGGTGCCCGGCTGGACGGGGGAGTGTAAGAGGGTTTGGGACGCCACCAGACTTCAGGCCAGGAGCAGCTCAGCTCCAGACAGCGTGGAGACGAAAGGGATGGTCACAGGAGAGGGTGCGGATGGAGTCATCCATCTATTCATTGGTCAGTAAGGCGACATCACCTGTGTGCACCTCCTGCCCACTCGGGCCAGCAGGGTGCAGAGCACGAGCAGCCTGGGGTGGAGCAGGTGGCGACACACAGGCTTTCAGGTGCCCACACGCTCGGTGCCCTCGGAGGCCGAGGGAGGCCCTCCCTGGAGGCCCCTGGGTGAGTCCCAGCGCCCAGGCCACCTGGGGGAGCTGGGGGGCCGAGCAGACAGGGGAAGGGAACTTTCAGAGCGTGGTCCAGGAGGAGCACTGGGGTCTCACTGCGTGGGGCCGGCCAGGGGGCCGGGGGTGTGGTGACCGCAGGCCCTCCCGCCCAAACAGGAAAACCCCACACGGAACAAACGAGAACTGAATGGTGATGTATTTTTAAACGCTCATATTTTGTTTCTCCTCTCACGTTTTTCTCACTGTTGCTTCTCCACAATTCTCACACCAACGTCCATCACACCCTGGCATCTGTGGCCGCGATGTTTCGGAGAACGATCGTGTAGGGAAGTGATTTCACAGTCAAACAGTCGCAGGAAGGCCGGCGGTGACAGCACAGAACAGAGCGAGGTCTCAGAGTTACTCGAAAGGGGAAGAAAACCGTGACAGCCTCAGGCCCGCCCTCCCGCCCGAGGAGAAGCTGCCCGGGCAGCCGCCCTCCTCGCGCCTCCGCGGCCCTGCGTGTCGCTGAGGAAGCTTCACCTCGATCCCTAGAAGCAGAAACAAAACACGTCCCCAGCCCTCCCCCCGCCATACCCAAGTATACATGAGGGATAAAATTACATTTGTACAAAAATAGATTTTTTTTTACCTTTCCCGATGCTTTAGACATTTTCTCTTATCTCTACTCTTTGTGGATCTGTCAACCTCTCTAAGTATTAGCTACGCGTCCCAGCTAAGGCATCGCTAAAGAGTGGGAACAGCTAAAGCTGTCTGCTCCAAAGCATCTGAAAATAGATGCATCTCCTTGCCTTGAGATAGTCACTTGAACCCGGATCTCACCAAAGGAGGGTCCTTATGCACTTGCTTACAGGAAGCAAATTTATAGGAAAACGAGGGAAAAGTCTTGATTAAAAATAAACGCAAAACATTGGTAACCACTTTGCGTCGCCGGCATGTGGCTGGCGTGCGGCTCTCTCCACACGCGTCTCTCTGTACAGCACATACATGTTTACACAACACACCTGCGTGGACGGGGACCAGATCACATGCCCCAACTCTGTGATGGGGACAACATCAGCTGATTACCCACTGGCTGCACGTTCCAGCCGGGCCCTGCGGGGGCCCCACAGGGAGGGGCCCGGGGCCATCTCCAGCGCTCTGCCACCGGGCCGCCAGCCTGAATCCTTGGGGAACGCCGTGACTTGGAAAACCGAGGGCGCAGGGCCGTCTTCCCCCAGAGACCCCGTGCTTCCAGGCGGAGGGGGGCGGTGGCTGACACAGGCCCCCCCGGGTGGAATGTCCCCGGCAGGCCAGCTTCGCAGAGACGCCATCCAGGCCGAGCGGGAGCCTGGCTTTGTGGCATCTTCACTCCTCAGACCCAGGAGCCCCGTCTGGACCTCAGAGAAGGGAGGTGACCGGCTGAGGAACTGCCCGGGGCAGCCGTGTCACCCAGCCAGGCCGAGGCGGGGACGGGCACGGTGGCTAACAAGCCGATGTTAGTGCTATCTTTAGAAAATTAAAGATTGTCCCACCAAAATAATAATAATAATTACAAAAAAATCACCTTAATTGAACCAGATTGGTAACACTACTAAAGGTCTGGTTAAATAAAACTCTACTCTCTACTGGGTATGTGCCATCTCCCCCGCGTGTCGCCTCTGCAGACGGACAGCACTGTACGTGTAGTAACGACAAGACCCACGGCGGGCGGGAAGCCCACGGAGAGCCGACCGCACCGCGGGGTGGCGCGTAAGGCTGCGTGCGCCAGAGGGGCCGGGACTCTGGTTTCAGGGGTGGCGGCCCGGGGGCCTCAGTGCGTTACAGACAGCCAGGGCCGGAAATGGCAAAGACCCCTGGCTTCTCTCCTCTGGAACCACCGACATTCCCGAGGGGCCCACGGATTTGGGGGGCACCGCCCCGGGCACGGTGCTGGCGTGAATGAAGGTGTGTCGGCTGCAGAAGGCACCGGGTGTTGAGAGTGGAGCGTCTCTGACGCCCCCACAATCAGAGGACCCCAGAGTGCCCGCGTCCCTCTGCCTGTCACACCACACCCCAAAGGCTGCCGAGACTTTCTGGCAGAGTCTGGGGGGAGGGCCAGCCAGCCAGGCCCCTGGCACAGGTGTGAGGCTCACCTGGGCACCATCTCTGCCTTGTGCCAGCGGATGAGGCCCAGAATGCCTCCAGAGAGCCGCCACGTTGAATGGCAGGGGTAGGGATGGAAGGAAGATGTTTCTGGAATCTTTGACAGCCTCTGTCTCAAGCACACAGTCAGCTGCGGCCTCTGCCCAGGTGCCAACCGCGGCTCTGGCTGGGAACTCCAGGAGCCAGAGGGAGACCTTTCTTCCCCACGGTCTCCCCTGGGAACCTGCCTCTCATCTCCCCACCGGAGCCCCAGCTGACATCCCCTCCCCGCTGAGGAAGCCCCTGCCAGGGCCACCCCACCTCTCTGCTCCAGGTGGGGAAAGAGACTTCAGGAGAAGGCAGCCCACCCCTCATTCCAGGGCTGCTGCTGGGAAGATGAGACCCCCCGCCTGAAACCCCCCACCCCCAGCGCCCCTCCCTTGTTCAGGCACCCGCTACCGACAAGGGCTGGGCCCACGGGCCAGGACGTGAGCGCGAGCAGTGCTCGGGCCGAAGGGAGGACCTTCCAGTGCAAAAGAGGCTAGTTCAACCTGAGAGAGCCCCGCACCGTGACAGCCCGAGGGCGCGTGCAGGAGCGGGCTGGGCCGGACAGGGCTCAGCCAGGGTGGCCCCCGCCCGCCATCCTCGGCCAGCACGAGCGTGAGACGGGCTCCCGAGTAAGGCTCTGGGTGAACAACACTGTCCACAGACAACACCGGGCGGGGTGGTCCCGAGAGGACCCCAGGCCTGAGGACACGGGGACCCAACGGTTCGAGGATTCCAAGAGTCTTCTAGATGCAACAGCCAGCCAGAAGGGGCCTCAGCAGGGTCCGCACAGCATCTGCCCCACCTGCAAGGGCTGTCTGTCCACCAGTCCCTCTGCTCCCGCCGCCTCCTGCCTCGCCTGGAGGGAAGCCAACCAGCAACCTCCTCCCTGCCACCCCTGCGGGCCTTCCAGATGGCCTGCGGCTGCCGACGACAACTCACAAAGCCATGTGCTTCCAGCAAGGCCACGGAGGCCACCACACCTGACCCTGCCTGAGACGGGGCTACCCCCCAGGAACCAAGGACTAGCCTCGGCCCAGCTCGCAGACCGCGAGAGGAGACGGGGCGGGGAGAGGCCAGCGCACCCAGGTCTGGTCACCTGGGTTGAACATGGAGGGAGAATCTGAAACCAAACAAGGCAGAGAAAACCAAGGAGGGCGAGCGAGTGATCCAGTCCCTGCAGCCACAAAGTGGCCCCAAGCCCTGCACAGAGGTCGGCTCCTGTTCTCATTGGCTCGAGGGCAAAATCGAGAGTCATCTTTGGAAAAAGGGGCTGCTCCCCCTTTGCTCTGAGCAAAGGGAAGCCTGCTGGCCCCCGGAGTCCCCTCTCGTCTTCCCGGGGCGGGTGGGGTCTTCTGCCATGAAACACCAGCCTGCCCCACCTGTCCCCACCTCCTGATCCTGGGGGGCTGTCCCGGGCTGGCGGGCACCAGTATTCAGAGCAGACAAAGATGGACACTCCAGACAGGAGGGCTGCACAGGGAGAGCCTCAAAACCAGCAACAAAAGCAACCGAAACAAAGCCTCCCTTCCCGGATCCTGCAGCTCCAGGGGCCGGGCCCTAAGAGCCCCCCCGGGGGATGGCAGGCGGCCGAGAGCCTCACACTAGTTCTTGCCACTCTGGCTGCTGCCTCGGGAAGGCCACTGCCCTGGACCAAAGACAAGTCATAATAACAATGAGGAAGATGACAGCACATCTCTCAGGCAGAGCAGTGACGGGCTGCACCCGAAGGTCCACACAGGCCAGGCGGAGAAGGGTAGGGACAGGGCTCAGGCTGAGAAGAGCAGCTGGCGTCCAGGCAGGGCGGCCAGACCGGGTGGGCGGGAAGGACGGGCCAGCGGGCCTAAGTCATCTGGTGCGGGGCTTCCAGCATCTCCATGAGGAAGGTGTCGATGGGCGTGTCCCCGATGAGCTTGAAGAAGAAGAGATGTTCCAGGCACTTGAGCCCAATGGAGCGCAGAGCAGGCAGACGGAGCAGGAGCTTGGCGAACCTGCCGGGACAGCAGGCCAGGTGAGGGCCGGGCCAGGTGAGGGTGCGGCGCTTCCCCCATGCTCTGCCCCAGCACACAGCGGCCTCCCAGGGGATGAGCCTGGTCTGAGCGTGAGACCCGCCTGCCACGCTGAGCCTTCGGGAGGAAGGAGGGGCCCTGAGACAGAGGAGACGGAGGAGGCAACGGCCAAGAGGCGGGAGCGCAGGAAGGAAGACCCACGGGTCCAAGGACGGAGACGGGGGGCTGGTGGGCAGACAGCGGCCAGCTGGCGTGGGCTGAACAGCACTTCGCGAGGAAGTTAAGAAACACGGGCTTGCTCCGAGGGCAATCCGGAGCCACAGCAGGATTTTAAGCAGGGGAGGAAACTACAGGAATGAGCCCGAGTATCAGTGGTGTGTCTGGCTGCAGCAGCTGTCCCTCTGCGAGACAGTGAGGCGCGATGATGATGGAGACGAGTCGCGGGTGCGAGCAGGGTGCCTGGGGGGCTGATGAGAAGACGGGGCGGGGTGGTGCCCATTCAACCAGTCCTGGGCTGGGGATCTACACACAAGAGCAAGCCCCTCCCACAGCACCTCAGGAGGGCTGTGCACCCCAGACCAGGGCTGCCCCTTCCCCAGAAACAGCTCCGCTGGAGCTGGGGCCAGAGGTGCAGGATGGCCCAGGAGGGCCGCAGGCAGGAGGCAGGGACGGAGGCTCCTCAGGGCCATGCCTACTCCCAGGGAACCTCCTGGGGTGGGGACTCGTGGGCAAAAAAGGGAAAGAAGTCTAGGGGGCCTGGGGGAGCGGTGTGTCAGGGTTAGCCATGCCAGGCTATGTGGCCGCAGCTGCCACCAGGACAGTGTGGCACAGGGACTGGACCAAGTGTTCCTCCGGGATGTCCACGTAAGCCCCAGGCCTCCCCCATTCCCTGCCCAGGTCTCTCCACGTGGACCCTCCAGGGGCTACAGAACCTCGTTAACTATTAACGAAGTCGTTCATTTTGGGGGAAAGCCCTGCGGTGGGCTGCCTCGCAGTCCTTGTTCTAAAGGCAAAACACAGCTCAGAGGCTGGAGCCGGGCCAGAGTTTTCTGCTGAGCTGGCGAGATGGGCCGGGCAGGGAGCCAGGAAAAACAAGCTGCCTGCCACCCTCCTGTCCTGTCCTCCGGGAAGTTTCACTTTAAACCAAACCAGACGGAGCTGAGCAGGCAGTGTGGACACAGTTAACCGTGTGTGTGCCAGGAGGCTGGTGGCATGAGCGTCCCTGTCTGCTCAGCCCCCACCCGCACCCCACCCCGTCACACTCTGCAGATTGGGAAGCCAGGGAATGCCCCTTTCAGGAGAAGGGGCAGGATGTGGAGAGCTGACTTCGAATCTCAGCATCCAGGGACATTTCTCCTCCTGGACACCTACTATGCGCCCAGCACCGTGGACTCAGAAATGAGACAAGATCCCAGCCCCCAGGGAGCATAGCTGGACATGGGAGAAAGACAAGCTCTGTGCTCAGGCCATGACCCTCTGTTCTGCACATGCTCATAGAGCACCTACTACGTGCAGACATCTGGCATTCTGGCCTGCACGTGCTTATAAAGCACCTACTGTCTGCAGATGTCCAGCCATCTATTTTGCACATGCTTGCAACACACCTCCTACGTGCCCCTGTCACCCAGCCTCTGCTGGTTCTGTCTGGGGCGGGGGTGCTGGGGCACGGCCTTTGCCTGCGCACTCAACAAACACGAGCACTACTGTGCACCTGGCACTAGGCAGTCTTTTCAGCAGGGCTAGAGGGTTCCACAACCCACTGGCCTGGAGAGATTCCCGCCACCTGCTCAGGGCCCGCCTGGGAAGGGCGTCACCTTCTCACGCACACAAAGGGCCTGGCGGGGGGGGGCTCTCACACCCAGAACGCCTGGGTGGGGGACTCACCTTCCCGGCTGCTCGGGGTACTTGTGCTTGCAATAGGCCTCCAAGGACGCATACACCTTCTCCCGCAGGGCCTCCACCTCGGCCGGGTTCGAGAGCCCCTTGGAGTCTGCAAGGAGAAGCCGCAGGTCAGAGCCCTCAGGCTGGTGGGCTGTGCCAGGAATCTGCCCCCGGACGAGCTGTCCGCGCACCCTCCCCCGCCTCCCCGCGACAGAGCAGATGGCGCAGCTGTGCCGCCAGCACCGGGGCCGAGTGCAGAACCCAGCCAGGCTGCTCCAGGTCCAAACTCAGCTCTGCTATTTGCCAGCTATGTGACCTTGGACCAGTCACTCGACCTCTACGGACTCAGTTTCCCCATCGGTAAAATGTCAGGAATCTGCTTACCCGCCCCCACTGCCATGTTAATTGGGCGAGACAATTCATGCTTTTGCTGTCCTCAGGGCACGGACGCTACCAACACCTCCCCCCCAAACACTGCCCCACACTGTGGGGTGCAGGGGCCCCACAGCCCATTCTCAGAGCCCGAGACTCATCAAGTGCTGAGTTCAGACCCCGGGAGTCAGGATCAGGGCCCAGTCTAGACAGAGCTGCCTGGGACCGCAGCTGCCCAAACCTCCAGGGCATGGGTGGCCCAGTGGGCACGTGTGGTGGCCGGGGGTCCTGGGGCTCTTGGCAACAGGCCAGGCTTCTCCCCTGCCTGCAAGCCCAAACCCAGGCCGCACAGGAAAACGGGCGGCAGCGGCCAGGCCACGTGGGACCTGAATGGAGACTGCACCAGGCCAGGCCGAGGCATGACTCAGCCTCCAGAGGTGGCAGGATTACAATCTGGAAGCACAAACCTGGGCGACAACACATTCCTGGAAACAGGCTCTCCCCACAGGATGACGCTCACCTCCACCCCAGCCTGGCCCCGCAGGCAGGCCCAGGAACTGTGACGGGGCTCCCCGCTCCTCAACTCTGCCCAGGTGAGCTCCCCACGGCAGCCCAAAACCTGTTCCCGTAGCCCCGCCCCTCCCCCCACCTGCACGCAGGGAGGTGCGTTTGCACCGGCTCCTCCCCGCCCAGGACACCCTGGGGCTGGGCTCCCACACCCTGGAGCACGAGACTTTCACGGGCCTGCCTGGGCCGCCCCCGCCAGCCCACCCCACACTCCTCGGGCCCTTTCTCAGTGTTACCTCCCGGGGGAAGTGGCTCGCACACTCTCAGCCACACCCTGACCAGGTCCCTGCCATCACATGGCCATGGCTGCCAGTGGGCACTTCCCTCTAAACCCCGAGCTCCTCGAGGGCAGGCCCCGCCTGGCTGCTCGCAGAGGCCCTCCCATGCCGGGCATGGCGCCCAGCAAACAGGCACCGCATCAACACTTAGGGGAAGGATTCGCACGTCGGAGGCTTCCGAAGCAGAGACCAGGGGCCATGGAAGCACCTCACCGTGGCCAGGCGGCCTGCTCCAGCCCTGCTCCACAGGGGCCCCGGCCCCAGAAATACCCGGGACCGAGGTTCAGGGGACGAGAATGGTCACCCCAGGACGCCCAGCAGGCCTAACCCCCAGCACCACCCTGCACAACCAGCGCTGCAGAACCTCAGCACCAGGAGCTCGAGGACACAGTCGGCCTCTTACGGAACAAAAGGCTCTGGCGCACAGCGGTGAGCGCCCTGGACGGCAGAGCCCAGAAGGCTCAGCGTCACCGAGCCCCTCACGACAAGCGCCTTCACCGGGCCCCACCGTGTAGAGGCTGCGCCACCCCAGCCGGCCTCGCAGTCAGCAGAAGGCACGTGGCCGTGCACCCACCGCGAGTAGAGGATTCGGAGGCTCGGGGAGGGTGGGAGTCGGCCCCGCACAGCAGCCAGTGGGGCAGCTGGCAGGGGACCCAGGAGCCCAGAGCCCACCAGAGGCCAGGTCTGGGCCCAGGAGGCGGTTGGGCCAGGCCGTACCAGGGTTGAAGAGGACGATGGCGCGCAGGCAGCCCAGCTCCGTCTTGTCCATCTGCATGTCCCGCATCTTGGATACGAGCTCCGTCAGCACCCTGCGCGGTAAGAGGGAGACACCAAGCCACGTCAGACCACGCTCCTCGCCAGGGCCCACCCCAGGGACACCCAGAGCACTCTGGGAAGCCCTGGGGGGCCCGGAGGACATGGGATGGGCAAGGCCAAGCCAGGGAGCTGCCCACACGGCTCCCGGGCCAGGCCTGTCCAGCTCCTCTCCTTCCAGGGTCCACCTGTGGGATTTCATTCTGGGAACCTGGACACCAGGGAGGGACCTCATGACAGAGGAAGAGGTCACTGCCTCACGTGCCCGGTGACACCCAGGCCCTGCTCGGCCGAGGAGCGGGCACCAAGCCCAACCACACCACGTTCTCAGCTGCTCCCTGCAGTGTAGGGAGACTGTTCTTCCCCGGGATGTGGTCTCCCCTAGGTGGGGAGCTGCCAGGGATACGTCCCACTCCTGTCACCAGGCGCTGGTTTCCACATGGGGGAAAACCACCTACACAGCCTCACCGAGGCGGGACCCCGCACGGAGCCCCTCAGGACAGCCTCAGGCCCAACCTCGATCTGCCCCACGAATGTGCAGCCCCCACGCCTGGGCCTCCCTGGCCTCAGCAGCCTGCCCCCAGCCCCCAAACCACCTGCCCTGTCCGGGAAGTGGAGGTGGTCGGTGAGGCGGGGGCCTGAGGGGAGGAAAGGGAGGTGGCCCAGGTGGGGCCCAGGCGTCACCCCCAGGAGCCTGGGCCTTTCCCTGCGGACCAAGGGAGCCCCTGAGGTCTGCAGCCTGGAGACACGGTCGCTTCCTGGGGAAGGCCTGAAGGAGCTCGGAGGACGGAGGGGAGGGGACCAGCTCACAGGGACACCTCAGGCAGGGCAGACAGCTGCAGAGATGGGGCAGAGAGCCCAGAGAGCGTAACTCCGTCCCCGTCATCTACCTGGCGGACGGAGCTCTCAGCTGGGTGCGTGGCTGGCGCTGTTTCCCAAAGCCACGTCCCCAGAGGGTGGACCCTGCTAAGGAAGCTTCTGTGGGCAAGAAACGCTGCGCCCTGCAGCACCCACAGGGCTCCCCCACGTGGCAGCTTGTTGAAGGCCAGAGAAGTCCTGCAGCGAAGACCCTCACACACAGCGTGTGCCCACCGCACCTGGCCACAAACCCTGTCACATTTGGTACATCCAGGGAGCTCAGGTCACAGGGCCACCCTCGGGACCTCAAGCCTGCTCATTTGTTCCACCTGGACCGTCCCGTGGGGCCGTGCAGCTGGCGCATTTATTCCCCAGCGGACGCTGGTGGGCGGCCTCCGCTTCTCCCACCCTCGGGGCTCTCGTCCTGTCACCTCCTCCCCTCGCCCGCTCCTCCCTCCCAGCCTCCGTGCTCCAGCGGGCTGAAGCTGACATCCAGGACCCCAGAACGCCCAGGTCTGGCGCGGGCCCTCTGGGCTCGTAGACCGGGCTGGCCAGAGGCAGGGACTGAGAAGCCACCGTGCACCTCACCTGGTGGAGCGCCAGCTGGCCCAGGGTTCAGGAGAGCGTCCAGAGTGGAGACAGACCCACCAGCCCCGGGACGTGGGCCTGTCCTCCCACCAGCTCGGCCCCGCGAGCGTGTCGCCTGAGAAGTGGCCAAGGAGCAACCAGAGCTGCACTGGGAGGTGCGGGGAACGGCGGCTCCGACAACCTGCCTGCCCAGAGCATCCGCCGCTTGGGCGTGACGACACTGCAATCCCAGCACCGAGTGGCTGTGACGTGCCAGACACAATCAACACCTGATAAAACCCTATCCACAGGATAATCTGCTTCTAACGACGGAGCTTTCCTCCCCCGATCAACAGGCAGGATTATGCGGAAAGAACAGGAAGGAGAAACCCAGACGTGGTGACAGATCATCCCCAGAGGCTGCGCCGCAAAGGTGTTTTCATCTTCTCCCTCGCACTTTCCTATCTCCCCGTCCGTGGCCCGCTCGGACCGCCAGCGTGAGCGGGCCAAAGCCCGACGTGCCCTCCCAGCGCCCACCCCCACCTGTCAAAGATGGCGCCCACCCCTGCGCTGTGGGCGCTGTTCCTGTGCACGTGCAGCCCGGTGGTGAGGAGGATCCCGTCCTTCACGGCGATGGACCGGTGCGAGAAGGAGGCGATGAGCAGCTCGTTCCAGCCTGGGGGAGGAGGCACACGGTCACCCGATGTCACCAGCCCCACAGCCCGCCCTGCCCCAGCCTCCAGTCACGCCCCAAAGGCAGCACGTCAGAGGCCCGTCCCCCTGGGCTCCCTGGAACCCCAACCCCAGGAAGTGCTCTGCTGAGAAGAGGTCGCCGAGCACCTATGCTTGGGAAATGCCTCTTCCGTCCCCAGTGCACGCTGGTGCAGTGAAGGCCCTGACAAGTCCCGTACACGCTCGTGTGCCCGTAGAAGCTTCTTCCTGCACACACAGGACGCTCATGCCTGGAGCACGTGGAGAACTGCCGAGGAGTCTCCCCGAGGTGGCCACACGACCACCGTGGCCAGCCTGGTCCCAGGAGCAAACTCTCGGAGATCAGCGTGTGGCCCATGGATGCCACGAAATAGCAAAGCACTAAACTGAAGCCAGGCACAGCAGAGCCACGGCCAACCCAACGCTCTCTTAGTATGATGTTCTTGGACAGACAGACCAGAGCAGGCATCAAAGAGGAAAAGAATTTTAAAAAATTCAAGTGCACAGATGTTGTAACGACTCTCATAAACTGGAAACCATGAAGTCAGCTTTGATGATAACAATTTTTAATACTCCCTGAGTGCCTGAAGGGGCCTGTGGCTGAAGCATCACACGAACCACCCCACTTCATCTCCACTGCGATCCTAGAAGCAGGCATCAGCTCTGGTTCACAGAGGGGAAACTGAGGCACGGGGCGGTAAGTGATCAGCAGGACAGTGGCTGGGGACCGCTATGCTGGCGCCTGCTCTCTCCGTCGGCTTCAACTCACCACGGCTCCCCGCGGGCACCCAACCCTTCCCGAAGCAACTCTCAGAAACGTGGTTTCGTGTACCCACCATGGGGACCCATCCCCATTTCACAGTTTAGTGATCAGAGGGCCCTGGAGGGAGGCCACGCAGACCAGACCCCACCACCGTGAGGGCACGTGGACTGTGCCACGAGAAGGTTTGATGGAGGCCAGAGAGAAGCCAGGGTTGGAAACCGCCAAAGAGATGCAGGTCTGGCACCTCCCCCCGCCCCGGGGGGGACCCCAAAACCCCAAAAAGGCCCAATCCCAACCAAGGGGCAAGAAGCAAGCCCCCTAGAAGGGCAATGAGGCAGGTGGGGCTCCATGGGTGGGCTTAGGGAGCGCCGCCCACCGTCCCACATCGAAGCCACGGCACGTCTGGGCAGGAGAGGGCTCTGGCGGGCTGTGCAGGGAAAACAGCTTCCTCCTCGCTCACCCCAACTTTCTGTGAGCAAGAGCCCGTCCTTTCTGCCCATGACACACCCACAGCACCACACGTGGGGAACTCTGGTCTGACGGACGCTCGCAGTCTGACGCACGGGTAACCTGCAGCCCAGAGAGGCGCCCCCGTGTCCCCCTGCACCTGCCCATGTCCCCCTGTCTTTGTGTCCCCCTGTGCCTGCCCATGTCCCCCTGCACCTGCCCATGTCCTGTGTTTGTGTCCCCTTGTGCCTGTCCATGTCCCCCTGTGCCTGCCCGTGTCCCCCTGCTCCTGCCCATGTCCCCCTGTCTTTGTGTCCCCCTGTGCCTGCCCATGTCCCCCTGTGCCTGTGTCCCCCTGTGTCCACCCATGTCCCCCTGCACCTGCCTGTGCCCCCCAGCTTGCCGGCAGGAACCTGCACTAAGGACCCGGGGCTCACAGCCACCTGCCAGTCACTCAGCAGAAGCCGCCTTCCAATCCGCGCGTCCCTGAAGCCCCCTTTACAGATGAGGAAAGGCTCAGAGGCAGCCTGCTCACCTGGGCCTGCATGGCAGGCCCAACCCCAAACCCCAAAGCCTATGCTCCCATCCACCATCCCAGCCACCCGTGTACCGTAGAGCATGCTGAGCGCAGAACAAGCATTTTTGTGCACCGGCTACATGCATCGCGATCCCTGCCTACAATCGGTGGGAAGGCAGGCCGCAGAGCGCGCATACCCCGCCCCAGCCCCTCACGTCTGTACCTCTCTGAGAGACCCTGCACCTACGAGGAAGGGGAGAAGGGAGAGACACTGAAGCCCCGGCCCCACGTACCCGCCCGCACGGCTCCCTGCCCGGCCGGCCCCGCACTCACCGGCCCGCAGGAGGATGACCTGGTCGTCCAGGGGCAGCTCAGAGAAGTGCGGGATGCGCTTGGCCCACTCCACGAGGGTGAAGAGCTGCTTGTCGGCTGCCTGGCAGATGTTGGTGACGGGGTCGTTGGGCTGTGATGGGGAGACAGGGGCAGTGTGTTCAGTCCACGTGCCAAGACATTTCAGAGAGCCCAGCCTGCCTCGCGGTGGGCTGAACATGGCCCCAAAGATGCCCACGTCCTACTCCCTGGAACCCAGGAATGTGTGGCCCCGCACTGCACAAGGGCCCTCGCAGGTGTGATTAAGGCACGGACCTCGAGAAAGGAGGGCACCCTGGATTATGGGGCAGCCCAGGAGCAGCACGGGGTCCCTCTGAGAGGGAGGCAGGAGGAGGTGATGGGGCAGGGGCAGAGCGGGGAAATGCTGCCGGCTTCAAAAACGGGGGGGCAGGGGGACGAACCAAGGAACATGGTGGCCTCTAGACACTGGAGTAGGCACGGACAGACCCTCCCCCAGCACGACCAGCGGGAGCGCGGGCCACGGACTTGCTGTCGTTGGCCCAGACGGCCGCTCTTGGGTTGCCGACCTCAAGAACCATGACACAGTAACGTGTGTTGTTTCAAGCCACTGGGCTTGCGGTGCCGGGTGATGACATGGGGAGGTGGGAGGAGCCACGATGGTCACGGTGGCCCTTCCGGGGACAGGGCTGGCCCCCCTGTTCTACCGCACATGGAGGTGGGAGCCTGGGGGGCATGTGGCTGGGCCGAGACCCCAGGCCCAGGCCCAGAGACGGGGCAGCAGCGTCCATCCCAGAAAGTCCCAGCCAGAAGGGGACTGTCTGGTCACTCCCACGGACGTGGGGACCCAGGCGGGCAGTGCGGCAGGGGCGCTTCCTCCCCAGTTCACAGCCAGCAGGGCTTGGGTCACTAGGTCCCAGGCAAGGTGGAAGGGATGGCGGGACACGGGAATCCCGCATCCCAGAAGGCACACGCCAGGTGCTCACGCAGGAGGAACTCGCTTCCTGCGAGGAGATTCCGCGGACGGAAACCACCTGCTCACCAGCGACGCGCCGTCTGAACACACCCCGCAGGAGGGCCCACGACACACTGCGCCTTGGCCTGCCAGGCGTGCACCATGTCAGCACAGGATCCCGACGCGGAGGCCACGGCAGCCCCGGGCCCTGGAGTTGGAGGAGCTGCACGGAGGGGTGGGAACCCCTCGGCCACCAGGGCTTAACCCGCCGTCTACACACGCCTTTCACTCACTCACTCGCTCCTCGGCGAACCTCCCTGGAGCCACGCCAGAGCCCCAGACTCTGTGCCGAGGGCCCCAAGGCTACCACAGCGGGCTCCACACTCAGCCTCAGTCTCCCCTCCTGTCACTTGGTGGCTGGAAAGCGACCGCCATCCTTGCCTGGCCAGTTGAGAAAACCAGCCCTGAGCACGCGTCCCCCCGGGGGGCATGGGCACTCCGTGATGACAGCCTCGGAGCTCAGCTGCAGGCAGCTCTGCTCGGGAGCTGCGATCCCAGGGAACTGCCCTCTCCCTGGCCCTGAGCCGGCCACACCCCTGGAAGCCCGCACGGAGCCCAGAGCAGGCCCAGCAGGTGACACTCTGAGCCCCTCTGGGCTGGCCGGGGCCTCTCCAGAAGGGGGCACACAGGTCACTGTGCACCGTCCACTCAGAGCAGGCGCAGACAGGACGGGGAACAGAAGCAGGGCTGGGGAGCCAGATGGCCAGGAGAGGCGTGCGGAGTGGGGGCGCCTGTCCCAGCGGGGCTAGGCCTGGAGGGGTTCCCTGGGTGGGGAGGGGCTGAGTGGGACTCCAGCTCTGCCCAGCTCCACCTCCACTGTGTGGCCTCGGGCAAGGGATTAACTTCTCTGAGCCTCTGACTCTCACCCAGAGACCAAACGGGCCTCCCCCAGCGTGGACAGGATGCTCTCCCACCTCCCCGGGAAGCGGTGTCCACGGGACCCGCCCACACAGAGCCGAGGCCCTGCCAGTGCTGGAGCCTCAGCGCGGTGGGTCGCCCCTCTCTGGGCCTCATGAGCTGTCCCCCAGAGGAGGACGCGGCCTGTCCGCAGGAGCGTTCGGCATGAGCCAGACACCAGGGGCCAGGGAGCAGGCAGGGCGGACACGCGCCCTTTGCTGGGAGCAAGCCCTGCCGCCGCCGGGTTCTGGACCACCCGAACTCTTACAGAGCAGACAGCAGGGTTTCTTCCAGCGAATGATGTCCTTACTTGAAAAAATTAACACTTGGCAATCCTTTGTCGACCTGCCAATCTTTCTCACGGAGTTTCCGCTCGATCACAACACCTCGCAGCTGCCCTCCCCTCCCTCCGCTGGGCTGGAGAGGGGCTGGGGTGGGCGGGCACAGCCGGTGGGTTGGCACCAGTCGCTCACAGGGAGGACTCTTCCCACACCCAGAGGAGCCTTCCCTGAGAGGAAAGCGCCTGCCTTCGGGGCCCCGGGGGCCCTCCCTCCCACGGGGCAGCCCCGGCCAGCGGGGAGGATGTGCAGGGCTGGGGTTCCAACTGGGTGTCCTGTCGCAGGGGGCAGGAAGCAGCGGGCAGAGCCGGTGGCCAGTGTACCTGGGCCAGCGGGGGACAGAGGTGGGGAGACCTCGGGGTTGGCCTGAACGAGATCTTCTGGGGCCGGCCAAGGACTCTGATCCCAGCCCTGAACCCGCGGGGAGACACAGACGCGGTGCGGATGCCACACCGATGGCAACCTGGGGCAGACACGGGACCCAAGCCGGCTGGAGCAGGGGCCGAGCACAGGGGCAGCACTCAACCCGCACTCTGACTCCGACCATCAGAAGATCCCCCACCCAGGCGCAAAGGAACCTGCGGCCCCGACGGCGGGAACCTTCCTCCAGCGACAGCCCCTCTGGCTGAAGGCTGCCCCTCACTACCAGCTCCCGTCCTGCCCGGGGAGCTACGCAGCCCCCACCCCTATGGCTCTGTCAGCACAGTCCCCATGTCCCCCAGGCAAGGCAGGCGCCTGGCTGCACGCAGGGAAGGGCTCCAAGGGCTCAGAAAGCTCCCACGTGCCTGCCCGGCAGAGCCACGGCGGGGCCGGCCTGTTTCAAAGGCGAAAGTGTGGCGGGGCAGGGGCTGGTGACACGTCAGGGCCCAAGAGGAGAGAGGGTGGAGCCCAGGAGGTCTGAATCCAAGACCCCTGGGGCCAACCAGAGCCAGCCCAGGAGGAGAGCCTGGGGCGGGGGCTACAGCCCACCCGGCCCTCACCTCCAGGCTGCAGGGCTGAGAGCGGGCAGGTGGTCAGCCTGCAGGTGACCACCTGGGGGCCAAGGAGCTGCTTCCTGCTTCAGCAGCAACCGTGGCAGTGGCCAGTCACGAGCCTCCTCATGCCAACTGACGGGACGGGGAGCTCGGGGAAAGCCCTCTGCCCAGGGCCACACAGCTGCAGCAAAGCCAGCCTTGGAACGAACCAGCTGCCCACGGAGCCTCACACCCACCTCCACACACCTTCTCTGGAGGGCATGGAGCAGGGACCCTCAGGCAGCGACAGCCTCTGCACCCAGAGAGGCTGAACCCCACAGTGCACAGGCGGGCCAAGGCCCCAACAGAGACAGCCAAGGCACAGAGGGAGCAGCTACAGGGCTGGAGCCCGCTCCTGGGCCCCGAAACCACGGAGGACCTGCACGTGGGCTGGCCGAGCAGGACCAGCCCGCATGGTCCAGAGGAGGTGAGCCAGGCCGGCCAGGGCAGCCGAGGGCCCAGCCCCACCCCAGGACCCTCCAGCTCACCGGCTGCTCGGGCGAGAGCGTGAGGGAGGGAGGGAGGCGAGGCGGGGGCCTCCCGCCCGCGCAGCACCGACTCACCGAGCTGGGGTGCAGCCCCGTGTTCGCCTCCACGCAGGCCCCGGTCTTGGGCTCCACGGCCAGCTCTGCCTCCAGGATCTTCTCCACCGGCATGTCCTCGCTGGCGCTGCTCGTGGACTCCACCTCGTTCTCGCTCCGCTCCTTGCCGCGCTGCCGCTCCTCCTGCACAGCTGCCGCATAGGGAGGCCCGGTCAGCGCCACGCCGCTGGGCCAGCAGCCCGGGAAGGGCTTCCATGGGCAGGGGCCAGCCCCGGGCCAGCACCTGTGACACCAGGGTCCCCACCAGGGCCACATGGGAGACACCCCAGCCAGACCCCAGCCCACCTCTGCCCCACGCCAGGCCCCTCTGGCCGTGTGATCTGAGAAGGGAGTCGACGGCTCACCAGGGACCCTGACACAGAGTGAGAAGGTTTCAGTGGGCTATGGACTCAGGGAGAGCCAGGAAGGCTTCCTGGAAGAAGTGGTAATGAGACCGGAAGAGGAGGTAATGATGGAACAAAGGCTCAGGCACATACAAAAGCCCAGCGCCAGAGCAAAGCCGGCTCCTGAGGAACAGGGCACCCGCGCTGGTGAAAAGCCAGTGCAGGGGGCACATCTGGGGGCCTTTGGAGGTTCAGAGTCACACCTAAGCAAGCACGAAGTTCAGCACCCCAGACCCCTATGTCCTCTGTGATGCTGGGCTCTGCCAAAGAGTGGGGACAGGAGCCCCATCCCAGCCACACTTGGACCAAGTGGGAGCTGCTTCCCCATTTCCCTGGCACCGCGAGGCCTGGGGACCATCCACCCTGCTCCGCCAGCTGCACCCCACGCAGCAGCACCGAGAGATGCCTGTCCCCTTTCCATCTAGTCCTGCCCCTGAGCAACAGCCCTAGCTGGGGCTCGGGCCCCCACTCCACTGCCTCCTTCTTCTGCTGCTCCGACCTCCACCCGGAGCCTCATGGGGTAATAAGCACTTCAAGGATGCCCCACGTTACAGAGAAGGAAACCGAGGCTCAGACAGAACGACTTGTCCAAGCAAGGGAACAGCAGAGCTGGGAACGTGACAGGGCCTGGGGTCACCAGCCCACGCCCCCACCTACCCACTCGCCCCTAGAAACCCCTCCCCCGACAGCTCGTCAGCCCAGGACACGGACACAGGCCCCATCCTCCTTCTGGTAGCTCACGCCCCTCCTCGTCCTGGTCCAGGCCGGGGATGGGGCCTGAGGGCCCGGGGGTGGGGCCCGCACCATGTTCCTTCTGGCCCCTCCCAGGGTCCAGCAGCCTCAGGTCCTCGAAGCTATCAGTTCTCAAGAAACCTCCCTGGTCCTGGCTCTGAGGCCTGAGCTGGGGGCTGCCTCCGCCGCCTCCCAGATGGGTGCGGCAGCTGCGAGGAACAGCAGGAGGCACGAGGGCGGAAGGGGCATCTACGCCTCCGGTGCCCTCCCTTCCCTGCCAAGGGGTCAGCAGCCACCTCCCCTAAAGTCAAGGCTCCTGCTGAGCACCCCCTTCTCGCACTCCCCCAGGCCCGGGGTGCAGGATTCCCCCTGTGCTGGCCCCGCCTGGTTCCCCCAAAGCTGCCCCCAGCTCCACAACAGTCCTGCTTGGATGCCCCTCCACCACCTTGTGCCAGCTGCGTCCCGCAGGCCCCACTGGCCGCAGTGAGGGACTTCCCACTACACAGCGAGACTCACGGACAGACGCGGGAGCCCCGTCTGTGCCTCCGGGGAGCCAGGCAGGGGTCTCCAGTCGCCTTCTGCAGAAATGATCTTCCGGAAAACCAGGCAAGCAGGTGGGGGCTGGGTAGGGAGCTGGGGGTCAGCAGGAAGACAGCGAGGGGCCCGCAAAGACTCCGGCCCCCGCAGCTGGGCACCCACAACCCCTCCACTGGGCAGTACTCATCTGGAGTAGGGTCTCCCAAGTCACCCTGTGTACACAGCTGTGGGCCAGGACAGCCGACCCCGACACTGCGCAGCCCATCGCACGGGAGGCACCTGCGCGGCTGGTCTCGGCCAGCACCGGGGCCGCCGGGACCCGTGTCCCTGAGACCCCGAGGTCTCTGGGCAGCACTCTACAGCCCCAGTGCCAGGACACAGCTGAGAGGTACATTTTAGCTCAATTGCTTCGTCTCACCCGGTGGGGAAACTGAGGCTCAGAGAGCCACCGGGGCATGGCTGCGCTCTCAGGACAGTGAACAGCTTAAAGCTGCAGGCTCTGGACCAGACAGCCTCTGTCTCCAAGCCTGCTCCCCACTGTGTGGCCCTGGGCAAGCCCCTAACCTCTCTGTGTCCCAGCTCCACGTGTCACATGAGAATGACAGGACGGACCCGCAGGGAGACACCTGCACACAGGACACCTCGGGACGCTCAGAGCTTTGTCAGCGCAGCCACCTGGCCACGCTGCCCTGCTCCTCATGCCCTGGCCCGGCTCCAGGGATTTTCTCCCACTCAAAGACAGTCCCAGGGCACGGGGAGCCCGAGGGAGGGGCTCCTGCCAGTTATCCCCGGGCACCAGCAGCTGGGGGCGGGGGGCTCCTCAGCACCTGCCTCCTCCGCCAGGGCGCTGAGAATTAATTAGCGAATGTTTTGTAAGCACTTTGAAGCTGTGAAGGGCCCAGCAGCTCTGAGCAGCATCATTACAAACATTATCGTTTTATTTATAGACGGCGGCGGGGAGGAGGGAGCGGGTTACGTTCTGCCAGCTCAATCACCTTTCAGACACAGTCATGTTTGACTTATGTTCCACTGGCGCCGGGAAGCCTCGGGCAGGAGGCGTCTGTAAATACCGGGCCTCGTTATCCTCCGGGCCCTGAGAGTGTAGCGGGCGGGGTGGAGGCGGAGGGGCACCCAGAGGGACGCATGGGAGGGCAGCGGCGCAGGGCAGGGGAGGCCGAGAGGACGCCGCACTCGCCCCAGCCCTCTGCCTCAGCCCCCACCAGCCCGGGCCGGCCCGGACATAACAGGCCCCGACATCGGGACACGCTGGCACAGCAGCCCCTCAGCCCGAGAGGCCGTCTCCCACCGCAGCCCCAGGGCCAAGCAGGAAGGAGGGGTCTGCAGGGACGCAGGCGGCTCAGAGGCAGGGCACCTGGGTTCCCCTGCTGTGCACCTGGTGCGGCCCAGGGCTAGGCCCAAGACAGGCAGGACTGAATTCCCACGGAACGCTCTGGCCCGACAGACTCTTAAGGCTGCGGCCATGGAGGCCCAGGTGGAGCAGAGCCGCACAGCCAACCGAAGCCTCCAACCCTGGGCGGCGGCCTTCCTTCCCTCAAGGGACTCCACCTAGGACCAGGCGTCTGAACACGGGAACTGTGCACACGCACGCACACACACACACACACGCGTGCACGCACACACACAAGCACGCTGTGGCCACCGCTCTCCAACCCCGCCCCCAGCCAAACACAGCGCTATCCTCCGCTGCGTTCCTCCAACAAGCCCGTGGGGAGGCCCTGCCGATGGCCCCGTGTCAGAGAGGAGGAACGGGGGGCTCAGAGAGGCAAGTTGCTTGCCCAGGGTCCCGGGTCAGAAAGCGGCAGGGCCAAAGCATGAGAGCCAGCCGTCCCCCCCAGCAGAGACCTGTGGGGTCACCCAAGTCTGTGCACGTGCGCACACACAGGCACGCACACACACACGCACGCACACACGCCAGACGCTGCCGTTTCCACACCCCAGGCCTTCGGAGCCAGGGGACGGGGCCCAGGCAGCACAGGCAGGCAGGAAGGAAATGGGGAGTGGCCTTCCCGGGGGAGGAGGAAGGAAGCAGGGACGGGGGGCAGCGGGTGGCCTCTCCAGTCTGGACCAGTGCCCCCCAGGTGGGAGCCAGCACGCCAGGAACCCCAAAGAGTGAGGCCTGTCTCCCCATCAGATGGGGTGCGCCTGCAGGCCCCCTGTTTGCTGAAGTGCCACCGCCCACTTCAGCAAACAGGCCCAGGCTCGGCCTGGCAGAGGGCCAGGGCCCCACCGTGGCATTTCCCACCGGCCTCTGCCCACCCCCTGGCCCCGGGAATGCTGCGGAACGAGTCCCTCCCTGGTGGCTGCCTGTGTATGCAGGCCCCTGCTGTTGCCCAACAGGAGATGCTATCAGCCTGTGGCATCCCTCGTTAGCTGGGCAGGCAGGGGTGGGGACCCCAGCTGCCCCGGAGCCCAGGCAGGCCCCTCCCACAGGGAGACCGGTGCACCCGCAGTCAGCCAGCTCCAGCACCAGCCCAGCCTCAGTTTCCAGAGTGCAGCTGCCCGCCAGGGGACCGGCACTTGGAACAGCCCCCATCCTGCGTGCTCTGGGCCAAGGGCACCCTGGGTTGGCAAACCTGGCCCCACGGCCCCCCGGGGCTGCTGTGCTGCCCAACGTGCACAGCCAGCAGCCCTGCCCACCGCTGCCAGGGAGCCCTCCTTGCACTGATGTGCCGGGGAGGGGAGAGAAGACAAACTCTGTGCTTTAGGACCGGTATGAGGCCGAGGGCCACTGCCCAGCACACGGACACAGGCAGGGGTGGGGACGTGCCTCCCGAGCCCTCCCAGCCACTCATCCTGTGGTGGGCGTCTCTGCAGGGCAGGCACCTGGGCTGCACCAGGCCCCCGTCACTTCCTTGCTGTGCAGCCCACACACCCGGGAGGCAGGAAGCGGCCCCCAGGCGCACGGGCACAGGGCTGGGGCGGCAGAGCCCACTTGGCACAGGGGCCCCGCCCCTCCTTGCCGCCCACGAAGAATCACCCTCCACCGCTGGCAAGACCAAGCTCTGTGGCTGTGTGTTTGGGGCACGAGGGCTCGGCAGGAGCTTTTACTGCACATTCGTGACTCACAAATCCAGGGAAGGTGGGTCCCTTGGCGGGAGCAGGTATTTATCTCCCGGCCCATAAATCAGGTCCCACGGGCCTCGCGCCGCCAAGCGGATGGGCGCAGCGCCAGGCTTCCCTCTCAGACAGAGGGGCAGGGGGGAGGCTGAAGCGGGGCCCAGGGTCCCTGGGTCGGGTAGACTGGGGAGTGGCCCAGGCCTACCCTGCACCGGCCCTGAGACCACCCCAAGGTCTCCCTCTCTGCACCCCGTTTCTCCATGTACAAGGCACAGGGTGAGTGACAGTGTGTGGAACAGGCAGCGGGTGCCCGTGTGGCCCAACACACAGCAAGCTCCTAACGAGACCCAGACACAGCGAGCACGAGGGCGGGCCAGGTCCCCCAGCCCTGGGACTGCAGTTCCGCTGGATGGGACACGGGGGTCATCCCCCAGGCCTTGGGGCCTCCACCTTCCCCGCTGGCCAAGCCTCGGGCCTCCACCCCAGGATAGGCCAGTCTCCACGCCTGGACACACCCCGTCTCCCACCCACCACACACTTGCCCCTGCTGGAGTTCCCATCTTTCAGGGACAATGCCACCCTCGCCATCCCCAGCACGCCCCCCACACACAACCACATGGGGCGCCCAGAGGAACTGGCGCGAGCAACGAGGTCTCGGCAGGAGCCCGAGGCCAGGGTTCCAGCCCAGCATGTGACCTTGAAAAAGGCCTGAAACCTCTGGCCTCAGTTTCCTGACCTGCACAGCAAGGGTGGGCATGAAGGAGCTCCACGCACTCCATGAAACAAACCTCCCGGTCAGAAGTGGCACGGTCCTCACCAGCCCGGCAGGCAGCTCAGCTCTGTGGGGACAGGGACTCCACGCTGACCCCACAGCGCAGCTCGAGGAAGAACGTCTGCCAGAGCAAGGGGCCCGCTGAGGTTTTGGTTTCTCAGCAAGGACTTAGGCTGAGCAGGCACCACGAATGAAACCAAATAAAACCGCAGCACCAGGCCACCACTCGGGACGTCCCCGATGGTGAGACATGGGCTCGGGTCCAGCTCGGGGACCCCATCAGGGCTGGCAGGAAGGAGGTGGGACACGCACCCCCACGTGGCGCCGCAGCAGCAGCCCCAGCAGAGGAAGGAGGGAGGGTCCTGCAGTGCTTCGGGGACAGACCAGCAGACGCCACCCAAGACAAAACCTCCAGCCCCACAGGCCCAGGGCACAGCGCACCCCGAACGTGCGCACAAACTGTGACCCAGGGATCCTCTCAGAAACCAGCAGGCGTCAAACTAAAGAATGAGAAGGGACCAGGCGGGGGGGACAGCCAAGGGCCACCGACAGCGAGGGCCGGAAGGTCACACCGCACATCGGGTCCAGGGCTCAGACCCAGGTCTGGCTGGACAGCCGGATGGTTTCCACGCCTCCCTCGCGGCCTTCCCTGCCAACTACCCCACACACGACGTATTTTGTCAATAAAACGGGCACAAAACTCCAAGAGCCTGAGACTCGAGTCCGGCCGCCCAAGGGCCTGGATGCCACCAGGTGCCCTACAGGGGGACAGGAGGTGGCCACAGGAGGAAGCAGAGCCAGGACGATCCCCAGCATCCAACAGGCTCGGGGACGTCCAACAGTCTCTGGAGGCCCCTAACCCAAACAGCCGCCCCCGAGGGTCTCCCTGGCTGTCCCCTTGCTGCACAGCTGGCCCACATGCACCCCTCTCCTGGGCTCCCACCACCTGGCCTGCTTCCTTCCCTCACCCCCAAATCCCCTCCTGCCTCAGTCCTTGCTGCGCTTCTGTCTGGAACACTCACTTTCTGTCATCCATGTCCTGCAGCCATGCGCTGGCCCAGCCCAGGGCACCCTCACGGGGGCTCTGACTGACCAATGCCTGTCCCCACGGCCTGGCACACAGCAGGAGCTCAGCGAAGACGTGATTGGGAGCGGAGGAGCTGGCACTGAGCCAGGCTTCAGTTGGCCCTGTGAGGCCCCTGCCTCATAAGAGAAAAGCAAGGTGCCTCCCATCCAGGCCCCAGATGCTAAGTGACCCTCACGCACATAGGCTCTGTGGGTTCCACCCTTGAGAGCACAGGCCTGGGGACCACCAGGCAGGTAAGCTATCACCTCCCATCGGGGGGCACTGCCGACTGCGGAGCAGCAACTCTGCAGGCAGTGAGCGCCCCGTCACCAGAGGTATGCAAAGCAGTCCACCAGCTGCAAAGCCCAGGGCTGGACTCTGAGGATGCCAGGGAAGCTGGGACACGTGGAGGCCTCATGGGTCTGACGCCAGCAGTGTGCTGGCTGGGGGAGAGAGTCTGGATGCCCTGTCCACCCGCCGTCCCCACCCCAAGCTTGCAGCCTACCTTCCCGCTTCATGCCCATGGCCAGGCACTTCTGGTAGCGGCAGTACTGGCACCGGTTCCGCTGTCGCTTGTCAATCAAGCAGTCCTTGTTGTCGCGGCAGGTGTAGGTCAGGTCCTTGCGCACGGTCCGCTTGAAGAAGCCCTTGCAGCCCTCGCAGCTGTACACCCCGTAGTGCTTGCCTGCGGGGCGGTGGCAGGGCTGGTGAGCGGCCACCACCCCGTCCTGCTGAGCCCCGAGGAGGGCCCGCAAGGTCTCCAGCCCCGGCCTGGGCCTCTGTCCCCCGAGAGGTGGTTCAGCCTCTGGCTCCACCCGTGGCGTTAGGAAGCAGAGGGCTGAATCCTGGCCCCGCAAGGCGCTGGCTCTCTGGGGCTGCGCTAGTTCTTCCCTCTTGGGCTACTGAGCGACACAACGCGGGGGCCCCAGGCCCAGCACAGCCCTGAGAAGAGCCCTGAGTGCCCCTCTGTTGCCACCACCAACAGCTGCCTCCCCTCGGCAGCCGCAGCCCTGCCCGCCTGGCCTCCCACCACACAGGCTCATGGACACAAGGCACCAGAGGGCACGGTGTGGCCTGGTGGCACCACAGGGCAGACAGAGGGGCTGGCCCAGGCCCCTGCCTCCCCGTACCCCGGCCCATGTGCCGCGGTGGCCCTACCTGAGGAGCGGTCCCCGCAGATGGCGCAGATGTGCTTGGTGAAGGACGCCATGTTTCCTGAGGGGTGGGCGGGGACCTTGAGGACGCCATTGAGGCCCAGGGGGGGCTTGACGTCCTCGCTGCCGCTGGCTGGGTTCATGGGCGAGCTGAGCTGAGGAGGGATGGCGGGTTCAGGAGGCAGCCCATCCCGCCACCCCCACAGCCCGCGCAGGGAAGGTGCGGCTGGGCCGCTGTACCCTTTTGCGGAGAGACGCCAAGGCCACAGAGGGCCTCGCAGCTGCAGAGCGGCAGGGCAGCAGGGCCACCGTCCCTGGGAGGGCAGGGCTGGGCTCTGCTGAGCACCAGCTGGATGCCTGGACCCAACTCCCACAGGGGTCGCCCTCCCACAGCTGACCCCGGGCCTCCTCACGGGACCGCTTGGCACAGCCCCCACCCCATGCCGGAGGGCCCTGCTCATGGCCTGCCCGTCGCCACCTAAGAGCCGCCTCCCATGACTGAGCCCCCGTCTGTGCCCAGCCCGTGCAGGGGCTCCCTGGACACTGAGTGAAGCAGAAACTCTGGGGACCCAGCCCACAGATGAGGACAGTGAGGCCCAGCCCCAGCAAGGAGGGGGCAGAGCTGGGTCCCCCAGAGCCACACATGCCCCCTACTACGCTGCAGGCCAGGGTCAGGGTCTCTGGCCACGTGACAGGAGAGGGGAGGGACACCCCCTCAGGCACCAGGTGGCAGGAACACCACTGGCCTCTGCACAGGCCCCTCCCCTGCAGCGGCAGGCGTGGGAAACTCACCCGGTCACCCTGGCAACAGCTGCAGCGTGCAATGACACAGCAGTTTTGGTTCCTCTGCCTCCACCCTGCTCTGCAGTCAGCGAAGGGCCCAGAGGCACTTCCCACTGCACCCACCAGCCAGCCTGCCCCGCCCCAGCCCCACTTCTGCAAAGCCCCGCCACCTCCTCTGCGAAAGGATCGCCTCTCCTTCCGTCCGGCCCAAATCCCATCCCCCTTTCTCACGGGACAGGAAGCGCTTGGTACTCCAGTGAGCAAAGCAGAAGCTACCCCAAAGCCTCCTTGCACAGAGGCCCCAGTGCCTGGAAGGATTTTCCCAGGCCCGGCCAGGCCTGGGTTCCGGGCCCTTCCTCCGTGGGCACCGGTGGGCTGTGAGGCTCTGCAAGGTGCTCAGCCCCAGGGCCCCAAGTGGGCTGCAGTGAGGCCACGGCCTGCCCTGACAGCTCAGTGCATCGGGGAGTGGGGGGTCCAATCGCAGAGCAGGGCGGCCAAATGCCCCGTGTTCACATCTGCAGGCAGGAGACCCGGAACTAAGAAGGGGCAGGAGAAAGTTCCGGACATTTGTGCACACCCGCCTCCCCCTGCCTGGAAAACCCCGGGGCCCCAGATGCAGACACTGCCACCCAGGGATCAGGGGGCCGACCCAGGTCGCACAGCGCTGAGTGGCAGCGTGGGGCTGAGCTCAGTCCTCCCGGAGTCAGCAGGTGATCACAGAGTCTACGATCCCCACATGCGGCAGAAGGGGAAACTGAGGCCCCAAGGCGGATGGGCTTGCCCAGAACCGCTCAGCAGGGGAGGAGTGTATGTTCCTCGGGCCCATCTGCTGCTGCACGCTGTTCACTAAGCGCCCCCTGCCCGGGCACGGACACCGGGAGGCGCCGGGGAACAGGGCCCGCTGGTGACCCTGAGGTCCGGGAAGACAGAGAAGGGCCAGTCGCTGTCTAACCAAGGGGCTCTGGAGGCAGCAGAGACAGACGATTCTGCCTCCTCTGTTAGCATGTGACATTGGAGAAATCATCTAAGCACTCCGGGCCTGAGCTCCCTGTCTGCAGAACTGGCCCATTCGTGCCTCCTGCTGGGGGCTCGTGTGAGGATGCGGATGAGCGGATCCCAGGGCACGGCTCGGAGCACGGCTTGCAGGCAACACATGCTCTATGACCACCGACTTACACGGCCAAGAAACCGCAGCTGCAACGAGCCCTTGGGCCTCCAGGAGACAGCCTGGGGCCTGGGAGGGTGGCAGGGGCATCCCATGCAGAGGGCTGCCCACACCAACGTTTGGAGGGAGGGAAACTAAAGGACCGTTCGCAGAAAGAAAGGAAGTCGGGGCAGCCAGGCCTGGGTCAGGTCAGAGGCAGGGCGGCAGCAGTGGCCAAGGGCAGGAACCACGGGCACCAGCGCCGTGTGCCCTAGCAGTGGGGAAGACCTGGGGACGTCTGCGCTGGAGGCCCTCGGGCTGGGCTGGACACAAGAGCCCCCTCCCAAGCCACAGCTCTGCAGGGCCAGATCTCCTGGAAGCATCACGGAGAGGAACTCACGAATTTCCTCTTTCTGTGGTTGCCCCAAGCCACAGCGGGTGGGTAGGGGGCACTTGCTGTCTCCCAGCTCCCCAGGTGCAGGCCCTTGGGCCTGGTACGTGCTCTAGGCAAACTGAGGTGGGGCCAGAGCAGCCCTCGTCAGGGAAGGGGGCTCCAGGCAGAGGGGACAGAGCAATGACACTCCCCCAGAGTCTGTGCTGTGGCCAAGCCAGCTGCCAGGCTGAACGCCGGAAAGCCCGAGGGGTCTGGGGACAGTGAAGCCCGGGCTGGGGCGCCCACTGTGCTCCGCTGGGCTGCACCGGCAGACAGCCAGGGTGTGGCTGCCAAAGCGGGCTGAGCCGAGCAGGGAGACGGGAGACCAGCCACGGCCTCCGACGTTCTTCCTGCCCTTCCCGCCCCAGAAACAAGCTCAGGGCAGGCCTCGGGGCCTCGTTCTGCATGGGCACAGCCTCCCCAGCGTGCTCGCCCGCATCTGTCGGGCACTCCTCCTGCACATCCCCCTCCCAGGAGACCCAGGACACGGATGGCTTTTCGCTGGAGCCCGAAGACTCCGTGCATGGCCAGGGTGGGGTCCGCCCCATTTCCCCTTTCAGATCCTTGGCACCTATTTCAGTTCCCACCTCCTAGATGCCCCACCCGGTCTCCTGCCCATCTACCCATTCCCTCCCCTGGCGCCCACCACGCCCTTCCTTCCCCAGCCCCTGCAGGCTCCCTCCACCAGCCCCCACTCCAGAAGGCCCACCACCCACAGTCAGAACTGGGCTCCAGGCCCACTGTGGACCTCCTCTGTCCACCCAGGCATGAGCAGACCCCCCCCTCAACACTGCCTTCCAGCTCTGCTCCCGGGCCAGCAAGTGCCGGGCATCAGCGCCACCCACGACGCGCCCCAAGCCTCACGCGCACACCTCCTCCTGCAGACATCACGGCCCTGCAGACCCTCTGCCGTGAGGCTCTGCCGGAGTTCAGAGGCCGTAACTCTGCGCCCAGCACCACACTGGGCACTGAGGAAGCACTCCCTGCACGGGAGCTGGCACTGTCCCCTCAGCCAATACCCACTACACACCCGGTGAGCCAGATACAGGCAGGAGACCTCTGGGACACCGTGGGAACCTCCCCTGAGCCCTGATGGAGCCCCCCCGCCCAACCCTGACCAGCAGCTGAAGACCCAGGGGCTGAGGGCTGGCCTGGCTCCACCCAGAAGCCCTCAGGCTTCCATCACCCTGCCCAGAGGGGTCCAGTGGTCCTTGCTGGGTGATGCTGACGCCCTTCCTGGCTGTGGACTTGAGCGGGCAGAGCGCGGCCGAGCGCCAGGCCCTCCCCGACAACAGCAGAAGTCAGAGAGCCTCGCTGGCTCCAGGAACTCTGACTTTGCGGTTGTGGTTTTGGGGCTGTGGGTGGGGGCACATCCGCCCCCCCAAACTCTACTCACACTCCCATGAATGAGGAACCCCAGGTTTCCAAGACAAACTGCTGGAGCCCACGGTGGACTCGGCTCCCAGGAAAGCTGCTGTGGGTCGTGGGGAACCTAAGGCCAAGTGTGGGCCTCAGACCACGGCAGACCGGCCACAGCCCTGCATGCAAGAGCAGGGCCCACGGCCGGACAGTGGGAACGTCTGGGGCACACTGGGTCCTGCCCCGTCTCGCCACCCCCTGGGCCCCTTGCCACCCTCAAGGGGGCCGGGGCCACTCGCTCACAAGGGCACCCCAACGTTGCTGGGAGCGTCTCTTCGCCCTCGGGTGGGCACCCTGGGGCACGGGCCCCTGCACAGCCCTCGGCTCTGCCCCCCAACGGAGACTCAGACACCCAGGCTCCTGTCGTGCACCAGCCCCCGGGCGTCCAGGGCAGGCAGCCAGCTTGGGGGCCCAGCAAGCAGCCGCATGGTGCTCCGAGAGCCAGCAGGTGCCAGCCAGTGGGCCCAGGGACAGGCACGGCCGGACGCCGAGTCCTCGACTGCCCTCCTCGACTGCCCTCCCACTGCGTGGCACCCTGCAGCCAGCAAGAATGGGGGCAGGGCAGCTACACTAAAAATAACACGGCCAGGCCCAGGGAGGTCGCTGGGGCCGCCCTCACGCCAGCACCGCAGCCTTCTGCTCGCTTCTGGAAGGCCAGGTGATGAGACAGGAACGGGAGGGGCATGCTCCTGGGCAGGGCCCCAGCTCTTCTGTGCACATCCCCGGGGAAGAGAGGCTTTGGCGGGTTGGCCTAGAGGGAGCGAGATTTCCCAGGAGGGCTCGGGAGAGCCAAGGCCAGCTCTGAACAGGCCCAGGTGCGTGGACAGTAGGCTGGCTCTGACCCCAGCCACACCCCGGTCCTGCACCAGGAGCAGCAGCTCAGCAGGCAGGGGGGCCTTGGAGTCCAGGGGCCACGGCAGGTGCCGTCAACTGTGTGACTCTGGCAGGTGTTGCCACTGCAAGTTCCTCCCTCATGGGCTGTCCCGAGAGGACACCAAAGCCCTTTGCCAAGGAGCCTTCACCTATTGGGGGACAAACGGCCAAACCCAGACACAGAAACCCAAAGTAGGAAGAGGATGCCTCTGCCTATTTTGGGAAAAACAAATAGAGCTTCCAAGAGAGGGAGGGCCTGGGGGAGTCACACTCCCACCAGCCAGGCAGAAATCCGCCAGCTCCGCCCTGCAGCCCTCCCAGGCCAGGAATACAGAGGCGCTCAGGGCACCTGAGGCAGAAGAGAGTGGGCCAGGTCCCAAGGTCCCCACAGCAAGACCTGGGCTGTGCCAGACCCTGCCAGGCTCCAGCCACTTCCTGACCGAGAAACAACCCAAACAGCCAGACCATGCTGGAGAAGCTAGACAGCAGGTCACCGAGGCCCACAGACAGCCAGGCATCCAAAGAGCCGAGGACACTGAGCACCCACTGCCATCGAGGCCACCTGGGGCCCAAGGCCTGGCATCCAAGGAGGGTGGCATCCGCGCTGAGCCTGGACATCCCTTCCCTGGGGCGTGGGGCACCGAGACCATTAGCACGGGCGAGAGCAGAGACCAGGAGGGAAGGACCCAGGCCCACGTGGGCACAGGGCTCCCAGGGAGAGCAGCGGGCCTGAGGAAAGCAGAGCCCCCACCCTGCAGAGCTCCCTGGTCGTGGAAAGGGGGAGCCCCCGCCCCTCCCGACCAGCTGCAAGGAAGCTCAGCTGCCAGTCCCTGAGGGGTCCAGGCCCAGGACCCAGCCAGACCTGGGCCCAAACCCCCTCTGGACACATGGCTCCCCAAGGCACTGCCTCCCACGGGTCAAAGGGGAAAGGATGGGCACCTTCACCGAGGGTCCGCAAGATGATGTGGCATCCTGCCACACAGCCCACAGCCCCACCCCAGACCCCTCCCCTGCCTTTCCCGTTCCAGCGCCAGCCCCGCACTCACCTGGGGGCTGCCCGTGCCAAAGCCCAGGGTGGGCGTGGTGGGCACCGACATGGAGTGGCCCATGGGGGAGCTGATGACCGAAAAGGGCGGGCCCATGCCGTTGATGGGCGAGCTCAGGGTGCTGATGGGCGAGTGCAGCTGCCCCGGGGAGCCCAGCGAGGAGCCGATGCCAGGTCCCAGAGCGGGGTGCAGTGAGGGGGCAGCCATGGAGCCTCGCCCCGGTGGGGAGCTGAGGGACGAGGAGTTCACCTGGGTGGAGAAGTCTGCAAGACAAGAATCCACAGGAGAGCCAGGTCAGAGCAGGCGATCAGGGTGGACCCCTCCACAGCCCCCACCAACTGCCTGCTCCCTCGGGTTGCAGACAGGCCCACGGGAAGACCCCGGGCACCCCCAGAGCGGCTCCACTGGTCCAGATGGCACCCCCACATGAGGCCAGGCCGGAGCTCCCCTCCAAGGCACCGCCCCCCACCTGGGCCGGGCGTTAGGCTGGGCCCAAGGCAGAGGCTGCCATCGGTGTGCCCCAGATGCCCACCTGGACCCGCCCACCTCCACACCCCAGGCCTGTCTGCGCCCAGGAAACAGAGGGAGGAACGCCTGCGGCCAGGAATGGACAGCCCTCTGCCATCCCCGCAGGGGGTAGAGGTGAAGGCTGGGGAGTGAAAACAAGAGTAACAAGGGCTGATGTTCTCAGAGCACCCACGGCGCACCAGGAGCTGGCCTGGCCTCGGCACGCATGCACACGCGGGGTCAGAGCACGCGTAAGTGCTGTTATTACCCATTCTGTGGGCGGGAGAAGCAAGGCCCTGAGTCCTTAGAGGTGCCGTGGCAGGGCCAGGACTGGCTCCAGAAGCTGACCCTCTCCGAAGTCGGTGGCCCTAACTGCCAGTCCACGCCGCCTGGGCCTGCTCAGGTACCACAGCAGTGGCAGCCGAGATTGCGTGGCCTGGGGTCTGTTTGGTCTCATGGGGCCCCAGGGGCAGGAGGGGACCAGAAAGGTGGGAAGGGGGCACCTGGGGGAGCTTCCGGGTGGCCACGTGGAGGGGCCAGGTGTGTGCCAGGCACGGAGGGCAGCCCACAGAGGCCCGGAGAAGCTGGGCCCTCCCACACACCAGCCTTTCATCTTGGGGATTTCAAAGCCCCCAGCAAGCGTGAAATGAGGCCCCCAAGGGAGGGAGGCTCCCCAGGGTGACTCCACTGTCCACAGCTGGTCAGACCACCAGGGAAACATCAGGAGCCCCAGAGGAGGCCACGGACACAGCCCGCTCCGCCCGACACTGCCTCCCGCAGGCTGGGAGCTCCAGGCTGTCTCCCTCCCTTGCCGGCCTCGCCTTCCCACCTGCAGTGTGGTACCGCGGCCCTTCCGCCCCGAGATCACATGTGCTTCCGAGGAGCCGAGCAGGCCTGCGGACACATGGAGCGGCTATGACTGAACCCACATGCCCTAGGTGGGGGGACACACCCCGGTGTACCCCTCAACAGCCTCTGGAAGACTTCACCTCCCTGAGCCCCAGAGCGGCCATGTCCGGGCGCTCGCTGAGGGCCAGGCTGGCGGGAAGAAGCCCCGCGCAGGGCATGAGCATTCGCCGCCTGCGCAAAGGGGTCTCAGACGCCACTGCCAACACAGCTGGGACTGGCACGGGACCTGCCTCCGTCCTGCAGCTCGGGTGAGCCCAGCGCTCGTGCCAGCGCCAGCCCAGAGGCCAACCCCCCGTCCGGGAGCAGTCGCCATTCCCACGCTCCCTCCGTCGCATCCCTTCCCAGCGGGGGGCAGGAAGAAGCCCGGAAGCCACCTTCCGCCAGGCACCCTCCACGAACGGGTCCACGGCAGGGTGGGCCAGCCTGCAGCACCGACCCCGCCTGACTCGGGTACAGACTCCACCAGCAAACGAGCCTCTGCGCCCACTGGCAACCTTGCCGTTCACAAAATTGGGAATAAAGCATTTCGCTGAAGTTGAAAACGCAAACTATGGGTTCCAGAACCCGACGTTGGCGGCACCCACAGTGACGATCAGGACTGCACATCAGCCCCATCAGCCATCAGGCTCCCGGCGGGCGAGGACGTGGGACCGGGACCCACGCGTAAACGTGTCCACGTGGAGGCAGAACCCCCGGGGGGAGAAGGCCAGGGAGGGAGCAGCGAGGGGCCGAGAGAGAAGGCGGCAGGAGAGTGTGTCACCTGAGTCACCCGAGTCACCCGAGTCTGTGCAACGCCTTCACCGAGTCTTTGGCGCTGTCAGAACTGCCCCGTGGCACACTCCCAGAATTCCGCGGCCACTCCTGGGCCACCAGGGCACCGCCAGGACGGTGGGAATGCCTCATCCCCCCTTCACCTGCCCCTGGATGGGGACACGGGAGCCCGTTTCCTCCCTTTCCGGGCCTCAGTTTCCTCATCTGGGAAATGCAGACGGCACACCCCCCTACAGGGCCAGAGTCCATGCAGCCACCCGGGGCTGGGCCCTCCCCATCAGCCCAATCCAGAGAAGCAGCCCACTACCCTCAGAGAGGAAGGGACAGGAAAGCGAGACTGCCTCCGCACCAGGTGGCTGTGCAGACGTCTCCGCCAGAGAAGGGCAAGGGCGACCCTAGGGGCAGCCACCCGGGAGGCTGCGTCCAGCTGGGTCCCAAACTGCAGGACTGTGCGTGCAGAAGCCAGGCCGGGAGTGGCCCGACCCTAAGGCCCTGGCTGCCCTGGGGAAGCCACCTTTCCTCCTGGCCTCTGAGAACACGATGGGCATTTGAAGGCCAGGAGGGAAGTCGCTGCTGGATTCTCCCGGCTTCCCCGCCCAAAGCCCCTATTCCGGGTGTAACCACAGGGGCCCCTGAATCGGAGGAGGGGACTGCAGGGTTTCTGGGACAGCCCGCCAGACCACCCTGCGGGCTGGTCTCCTTAAGCCAGCTGTCCCCAGGACATGAGGGCCGGCCGGCCCAGACCCCTGAGAGGGGATTCCGCTGCTGGCTGGCTGTGCCCATCCACAGGGAGCACTGCTGCCGAAGGGGCAGGCCAGGGAGTGAAAGGCATCTCTCTGCCCTGAAACGCCAGCTCTCACAGCCGCTGCCGCGCAGGGCACCACGAGGACTCGGGCCTCGGCCTGCACAGACAGCGCCGGCCATGCAGCCAGGCGGGGTATCGCTCACTGCTCTCCCTGGCAGGAAGAGGAGGAGCGGCAGGAGAAAGCACCGGCCACAAGGATGGAGGGAAGGAGGGAAGGAAGGAGGGAGGGAAGGAAGGAGGGAGGGAGGGAAGGAGGGAAGGAGGGAGGGAGGGAAGGAGGGAGGGAAAGAGGGAAGAGAAGGAGAAAGGGACGGAGGGAGGCCTCAACTCTTTCCTGGCCTCCAAGAAACTGCCTGCACTCAGCTCGTTTGAAACCCCTGAGGAAGGGGAGCCAGTTTGGTGGGGGAGCAAACTGGTCAGGGAGGGCCAGGAGGGGTCAGGGAGAAAGGGCAGAAAAGAGGGAGGCAGCCCCCAGCCCGCCAACCTGTGGGTGTGGCCCCCAGATGAGGGTGGAGCCCCGGCTACCCGCCCCGCCCCAGCCTAACGGTGCAGGCCCCGTCCAGCAACTGCTCCAGGGGCTCCCGGCCACGAGCAATGCCCCCTGGCATGGCCCGCTGCCCCCAGGCCCCCACTCCAGGGCGCTTCCTGTTTACACAGAACATCCACAGCAGACACCTTCCCGGAGCCCAGCGACAATGGGCTGGGCGTGTTTTCTGGAGTCTTCTGGAGAGAGACGCTTTCTGGCCAGGAAGGGAATGTTAAAGAGAAAAGGCAAAAAACGCCTAAACATCTTCTACTTGCAGCAAAAGGCCCTGTCCACGTGCTGGCTCCGCCTTTTCCGGCATCCATCCATCCCCTCCATACGCAGTGACGATAAAGTGTTACTCTTAAAAAGTCACACTCTGGAGTGCAGGGCTGTCACCAGCTGGTCTCCACTGGGGGATCTGATGCTCCGTGTTCCCTCCCGTGGGGCGTGGCGCGGCCCTGGGAGCTCTCTCGGGCCAGCCTCAAACACCCAGACTGAACCTCGAGCCGGTGGCCACGTGGCCATCCCAGCACAGAGGGGCGGCCGAGCGGCCTCAGAGGGACAGGCCCTGGGTGGCAGAATCAAATCCGAGTCTGGAAACCTCAGAACCTGTAACACACAAGGCCCACGATCCCAGAACCTCACGCCCCTGTCACCCGCCAGGCCCCTTCAGCACCAGCAGCAGCCAGTGGGACCCGGGACTCTGAGAAAGGAGGGTGCAGCCCAGGTCACAGGGACCTCCAGTGACTCACACAGAGAGGAGAGCAGGCCCCAATTCAGGCAGGGGAAATGCCGCAGCAGTCCCCACATGGGCAAAGACACCTCCCTCGGCAGCTGGATTTCAATCCAGGAAAGCTGCATGGAAGAAGTGGTGGAGTGATCTCACCCTTGGCACAAAGCCGACTCTAAAATGCAACACCTGGAGGCCAACAGCAGAAACCACGAGGCAGAGACAGAATGCCCTGGAACACCTGGCACCCAGGGCAGGTGCGGAGCAGCTCCCCCCAAGACGGCAGATCTGGGGTGCTGGGAACTGAAAGTTCCATTTAGTAAAGGCGAAATGAAGAATGTTCTCATCACTTCTGCTGTCCGACAAGGCACAGGCTGCTCCTGGAGGGGAGTGAGCTCCCCACCACAACTGCATGCAAGCAGCAGCTATAACCACCGCCCAGGAACGGCCCCAGGGATACCTGTGTCCCCCCAAGGCTCTTTCGGAAGAGGTAAGAGACATCCCATCAACCAAAATTCCTGAGCTGCACGGGTTTCCAGGACCTCCTGCTCCCCGGGACCCCTTTCAGGAAGCCCGGGAACCCCCACCAACTCTCCTCTGGCCTCTGCCTGGCAGGCGGGGGAGGCAGAGGAGGTGATAGGAAACCCCAGCCCGACTGCAGCTGGGGCGGGGACGAGCCCCTCGGACGCCGGCGCCCTCCCGGGCAACCAAGGAAGCCAGGGGTCTTGGCGAGGGGGCTCAAGGCTCCTCCACAGGCCTCTGGACTTGGCAGCACCAAAAACGGCAGGGTCCAAACAGGCTGAAGGCCAGGGCGAGGGACAGGCCACGTGTCCAGATGGGTGAAAGAGGACACTGAGGTCCGATCCAGGCCCCAGCGGGCCCTGCAGGAAGCTGGTGGGGGGAGGAGGACGGCGGTCCCTTGGGGCTTCGAGGCGGGGCACACAGGATGGCACAGACGTGGGGGCCCAGGAGCAGAGAAGTGCGGGCGGTGGGGGGAAGCCCAGGGCGAGGAGCC